GAGTTAACATTGACCTTTCATTGTCACTTTATATTGGCTTATAATGTGGGGACTTCTCCAGCCATCACAATATTTGGAGGGATGCTCAAGTGCCACAGAAGACATTCACATACTACCATCCAGAGTCAAGAGGGCTTGATTTTTCAGGATTGATGAATGACATCAAGGTGGTTCATTTCTTTAACATTTTAACACGTTCAATATTGTTTCTTTTTGTTCTTCCATTCTTGCTGCTTCCCGTATGTATTAAGCTTTTTATGGATTCATTCTTAAATCTCGTGTCCTACACTCCTACCAGCTACAGATTTAGCTCCGCTTGTTACTTTGGTAGCAATTTGTATTCTCCATTGTGCATTTATAGTTCTCTTGGTACAATACAGATACCCAGTCAGTTGAAATTTGGAAATGGAACCCCGAGAGACTATTTTCTGCTCAGTGAATCTGTTCTGTTCTGCTGAGTGCTGAGAATGTCTGAAATTCCTTTTGTTTATGTTTTTTCTGTCATCTGCAGAATGCTCCAGACGGTTCATTCTTTTTGCTTCATGCATGTGCTCATAATCCTACTGGTGTAGATCCTACAGAGGAACAATGGAGAAAATATCCCATCAGTTCAAGGTAAGGGGAACTGAACTGGGAACAGAAAAGTTACAGCATTTCCTGTGAACTCCTACAAGCCACACCTATTAAATTTCATTCTTGTTCCTCTATAGGTGAAGAAACATTTTCCATTCTTTGACATGGCATACCAAGGGTTTGCCAGTGGTGATCCAGAGAGAGATGCCAAGGCAATCCGAATTTTCCTTGAAGATGGACACCAAATTGGATGTGCTCAGTCATACGCAAAGAATATGGGACTTTATGGACAGAGAGCAGGATGCCTGAGGTATTTAGTTGACCAGTGCCTTAGCTATTGTTTACATATAGCATTGTCACCTGCTGTACTTCTTAGTATACCGACATGCGTGATTTTTTAAATGACATGTGGCTAGTTTTCTAATATAACAGCTGTTGGATTTCTTAGTATTCTTCATTGGGGTTTTCTATGCTTCTGAGAGAAAGAGTTGTTGGATTTCTTACGATATAGAGCATTCTAAAGAAAGGGGGAAGGGGGGGCAGACTTAGACTTAATGAAAGACTTGTTTTTTTTTCAATTTGAGTGCACCTTATTGCATTCTCTCTGTAGCTAAGTGGATGATATTTAATATAATTGGTGCTCCACTGTTTAAACTTTTGGTCAAATAGTGACTATTGTGTGATTACTTTTTAGTTTTTAGATAATGGTAGTACACTAATCACTATAATGTGCTTGTTACCAATATTGCAGTATTCTGTGTGAGGATGAGATGCAAGCAGTTGCTGTCAAGAGCCAACTGCAACAGATCGCGAGACCAATGTACAGCAACCCACCTGTTCATGGTGCACTGGTTGTTTCTATAATCCTCAATGATCCAGAATTGAAGGGTTTATGGTTAAAAGAAGTCAAGGTAAATTGTGAATCCTACATAAGTACTTAATGTTCTTAAATGGTTAGATGGTTAAATCTATTGTTAGTGAATACAGAAGAATTTTATCAACACCCTACTGATTGTTTCAGGGTATGGCTGATCGTATCATTGGCATGCGAAGGCATAAGGAAAATCTTGAAAAGCTAGGTTCACCTTTGTCATGGGATCATATCACTAATCAGGTAATACAACTATGAAAATCACTTCCATGTTTCTGAAATCTGAATATATTTATTGATATTTAGAGTAACATGTATATTCTCCAGTTTACAACAGTGACCAGTAGCTGATTATCCCAAGGCTGAGGTTATCTGGTTTGTATCATAATGTTGTTGGAGTTCAGTTTGGTGCGTGGTTTGGATTAGTAAATAAAAAAAAAATACAAGGCCCTTTGAGCTGGCCAACCTTGGGACTAACAGTTGGGAATAGATAATGACAAACAAGGGCATCTAGCGTCTTTTTTACTTAATGCTTTGAACATAGATAAGTCTGAGAGTCTGAGATACACCCCTTTGATCATTGATTTTTATAGTGACATCTAGCAGAATGTGTGGCAATTGTGATGATATGTAAGTATTTTTTTAGAATTAAGAGGAATCAATTACTGCTATTTTCATGAAGCAAAAATTGTTCATTCATATTAGCTATCAAAATGTTTAGTTTGATATTCTAGGAAAGAAGTACAATGGAAGGACTATATCCAAACTTTTGAAGTTCCAAACGAGAGCCGGTACATCAGCCAATCATATTTTGATTTTTAAGTGTATAGAGTTACTAACCAGGACCAATCTCATCATGTGTTTCTGAATTTGCTGATACCTTTACTGGATAGCAATAGATCTCCTTGCAACATGTCTTTTCCCGTGCCACTGCATTTTGTTTCAGTACCCTTTTTTATTAGGTCAGACTCAATTTACGGCTTGTGTGGCATTATTATTAGTAATTTAGTATGTGGTGAATTTGTATATGAATAAAGGGTACGTGTCTTTGTATAGATCGGAATGTTCTGCTACAGTGGGATGACACCTGAACAAGTTGACCGCTTAACAAATGAATACCACATTTACATGACACGCAATGGGAGGATAAGGTACACTTCCTAATTATTATTTTTTACATCACGTTGATTCATTTATCTGTTTCTTCATACCTTCCGAAGAATGAATCTAACTTCATTCCCGTGCCAATTTCAGCATGGCTGGTGTAACAACAGGAAATGTTGCTTACTTGGCAAATGCGATTCATGAGGTTACCAAACCAAACTGAGTTACGGTCCCTACCTTTGGCCGATGAAATGGGGCTTTGAAGTGCCTTTTTTTTTCTTTCCTGACATAATAACATGGTCGTCCTGGAGAAATAAGTTCAGCCTGCTGGTCCCACATGCATGGAGACCCAGAGATATAAAACTTCAGTTTTGAGAGCTACATGCTGATCCTGTTCCTTCTATTTTCTGTCTCCCGGTCTTGACATAGACAATTGTTACACCAGCTGCAAAAGGCTATATAGCATAATGTAAAAACTTCAGTTTTGAGAGCTATATACAGATCCTGTTTCTTCTAGTTTCTGTTTTCTGGTCTTGTCATGACAATTGTTTCACCAGCTTCAGAAGGCTGTAGCATAATGTAAAACTTCAGTTTTGAGAGCTTTATACAGATCCTGTTTCTTCTAGTTTCTGTTTTCCGGTCTTGTCATGACAATTGTTTCACCAGCTGCAGAAGGCTGTAGCATAATGTAAAACTTCAGTTTTGAGAGCTACATACTGATCCTGTTTCTTCTACTTTCTGTTTTCCGGTCTTTCATGACAATTGTTACACCAGCTGCAAAAGGCTGTAGCATAACTTGTAGTGCGAAATTTAAGAACTGATTTGTCCAGCGTTTCAGTTACTTTGAAGATTAGAGTTGTAAATTAAGGCGTGCCTGCTAAGCGAATCTGCATGTTTCGTTATGCTATTGACAAACTCCATATTTAGTCGAAATGCATGTTTCGTTATGCTATTGACAAACTCCATATTGAAGATTAGCATTGATTGGATGCCATGCTTGGGGCTGTAGAACATCGCCCAAGCGAGGCTCAAATCAAATCATTAAAATTCTGCACATATATCAATAAAAAATATAAATTAGCTTTGGGTGGGGTGAACAATTAAATTCGGCTCAGATCAATCAAAATTTTTAGTTTTGGTTAGCTTTTTTTTGGCAACAGTTTGTTTCATCAAAAATTTATATTAGCTTTGGTTGAACATTTAAATTCTGCTCACAAAAATCCAAAATTTTATTTAGCTTTGGTTGGGGTGCGCCAGGCTTGGGCTGTAGTGCAACGCCCAAGCGACACTCGAGAGGCCCAGTAGCAAGCTACTGTTGCGACCTCTCCCCCACAAAAAATAAATTTAATATCTAAGTGGGCACATAGCCCACATATCAGATATTAAACTGATAAGAACAGATACTACACTTGATCTTAGCCAAAAGGCCGAGAAAGGTATGAGTTGCAGCCGGGCACCCTCGCCTTGTTTTGTAGAGCGCCTCGCGCCCCTCCGCGGCTCAGCAGGCGATGTGGGACTAACAGCTGCGCCGCCTCTACTCGCCCCGCGGTCTGGCGCTCCCCCGTGCGCGCGGCGCGCTTGTTTGGGCCCAATGCTAATTTCCCGTTTGCGGCTGACATGTTCGGCCCTCCTATGCCGGCCCAGGTTTGTAGTCTCATGGGCCGTTGCTGTAAAAGGGCCCATGCCTGACGAACTGAGGGTGCATGTCGCAAGCAGACTGTCTCTCACGGTCACGGCCTCCTATACTGCTTTTTTTTCTTTCTCAGAAAAAAAAAAAGGAGAGCTTGCCTCAAGGTGACAGCAGTACAGCACTATGAACTGAGGTCAAGTTACTGCAACTGGCAATGAGAACTTAGAACTGACGTATTTGTATAGAGTGTACCAATTTTCCAGCAATTTTCTAGTAGAAATATTACCAAATTGTGGATCGAAAACTCTGTAGATCTCAACGTAGCTAAAATTGTTTATACCTATCACAGTGAAAGTGTTTGTTGGAGAAATTAAACCATCTCCATGAATATTTCGAACATATCACGGCACGATGACCGGCTTATGGGTGGCAGATGCAATGTAAAAACAAAGCTAGGGGGTAAAACTATAGCTTTGAACTTGATGGATCATGCGACAAAATAACCATCATGACCACCCCAGCTCCATGTTCAAAATGATCTGTACGGTGCTTCAACACCCAACAAACTCTTTCCAAGTAGAACTACATCCAGGATATACATGTTTTGTACAATTTTACCGTTTTTCTGTTTCTTTTCGCTCCAACCAGACCGACAGCAACTGTCATCTGGGACCAGATAGCTCAATTGGCTCTATTATGAAGGACGACGAATCATGTGGGTCCTCGTGTCTTATAGAGAAACTGTAAGGTACGCCATAAGGAAGAGGTTCCCTATTCAACTCAACGCTGCTTTCCGCCAGCGTGACGTTAGCTTCAAGAGCGTGCAGAACTTGTGACATCTTAGGCCGCAGTATAGGGTTCGTCTGTGTACATTGGATGATCACATCGACTGAACATTCCAGCTCGAGAATATCAAATGAATCTCTGAGATCCCTGTCGACCAGCTTATCCAGTTTCTTTTCCTCCTTTAGCTCCCTAACCTGAAGAGGAACACAGGTGTCAAATCTGTGCAGCGTGGGGTTGAAATACAGTAAATAGTACGTAAATAAGTGCACAGAAGTTTACCCAATCTAGAATCATGCCTTTCTGAGACTGGCCATGTCCATTGCTCAAGGTTTTAGGACCAGTAATCAGTTCCAACAGGAGAATACCAAACCCATAAACATCAGTCTTCTCTGAGGACTGTCCAGTTGAGAGATACTCAGGAGCAATATGCCCAATAGTGCCCCGAACTGCAGTAGTAACATGTGATTCCTGACGGTCAAGAAGTTTTGCCAATCCAAAATCCCCAACGATTGCTTCAAAACTTTGATCAAGCAATATGTTTGCAGCTTTGACATCCCTGTGAATGATCTTAGGATTGCATTGTTCATGAAGGTAGAGTAACCCCCTGGCAGCGCCAAGAGCAATCCGCATGCGTTTACTCCAATCAAGAGATGGTTTTCCATTACGGTAATCTGAAAATTGCAACCCCATATATTACAAAGTGATAAGGATATATAAACAGTTGATATGACTGTGGCAAAGAACCAACCAAAACACATAGTATTAGGCAAATATTTACAAGGAATGCAAAGGACTTGCACAGAATGCCAATTGTAGACTTAAATAACATTGAAATGTTGTAGACAATTGAGTTACCTCTCAAGCGGTCAGCAACACTGCCATTTGGCATATATGGATATACAAGCAACCGTTCTTTCGAGGTCATGCAAAATCCAAACAGACGCAAGAGATTCCTGTGCACAGCGAGGCCAATCAACTCAACTTCTGTTTGAAATTGGACTTCACCGGTAACATCAGGATCTTTCAATCTCTTCACTGCCACTAAAGTTCCATTTTTCAAACAGCCTTTATACACAATGCCAAAACCTCCTTGACCTAATATATTCTTCGAATTAAAATTGTCCGTTGCACTTTGCAGGTCATGAAATGAGAAATGCTTCACGTGACCCAATTCAAATTCTAGATCTTGATCTACAAACAAACAAAAACGTCAAATCATGTATATTTAACCTGTAAAGAGAGCATACTACATAGGCTTGGATAATTACCAGCAGAAGCAAAAGGCAAGCGCCATCTGCAATAACTTAGCCAATACACGAACAACAAAACTAATATTGTGGAACAGGTGACACTTAAAGAAATTGCCAGAGCTAATTGATGATGGTTCTTGGCCTTTTGGACCTGTCTCGACATTGTCCCTGCCATTAATGTACAGTTAAGTTCCAGCTTCTAAAGAATAGATATGTAAAAGATATGCCATCTGGGAAAACAACTACCATTAGTCATTGCTGTCAGATCCGAACAACCATGTACAATTGAGGAATTGCAAAGGAACCGATTTCCCGCAAGACTGAGAAACAAAATAAACAGTTATCTTCAGTGAAATGTCAAAACTATCAGAAAAGAATGTTCATGTTTAGTCTCAGTTTAAGCAATGTAATAAGAGAACTTTAGTGTCAGAAAGGTGGGGAGCAAATAATCATTCATTGCAACTGACAAAAGATTTTGGATGAGAAAATGGAGTAAGACAGTACTCCATCAATTTCAAAAGTATATGGCCTATAGAATTTGTAATCTTACTTTGACATATAAGGCGCACATGCAAATTACCCTTTCTCTCTTTTCCCTTATTTATTCTCACCCCCTCTCTTCAACATTTTCTAATAAACAACCCACAAATTGTTCCATACATTATTCCCCAGAAATTAACATCATGGATACCATATGGTCATCTCCTTGTGTCCTCTGTGTCCATGGTCTCTCTAATCTAGGTGCTTGACCAAAATATGCTTAAAAAGAAATGGAGTGAGAGAAATAAGAGCTTATACATACACCCCCAACAGTTACCTGTAATCATGTGCATAGATTTTTGGAACTGGGCCACTTAAATTGTTGAATGATAAGTCACTGAAACATATCACCTTGTCAGTTTAAAGCCAAATAGCCAATAGTTACAACTCAATTGTGTGAAAAAGAGAATCAGAAAGAAACATACAGGAATGTGAGACCTGGAAGCCTAGCAACATCTGCCGGAATCGACCCAGACAAGTTATTCCTATCAAGGCGTCTGAGAGATCGACAAAGCAACAGTTTTAATACAAAATACATGTTGTAAACTTAAGAAACATTTTTTAAATAAACTCACAGATAATTTAGTCGAGTCAATTGCCCCAATGAACTTGGGATATCACCAATGAACTCGTTACTAGAAAGGTCAAGAGCATTCAGATTGATCAGCTTCCCTATCTCTGGAGGAATTTCACCTGATATTCTATTGTTCTGTAGTGACCTGAATCAAACCAACAATAAGGTCAGCTATTGAACACAGGTACTATCTCATTTCACAAGGATGGATAGTAGTCATAGTTAGTGAAATCCAACAGGAAATCCGACACAAGTCCAGAATTGAGAAGGAAATCATGAAATAGCCAATGTTCTTAACTTTTAAGATGGGTGAATGATGCAGCATTATTTTCAAGTTGGATGATCAATCACACAGAAGGGCGGGCCTGGTGCAAGCGGTAGAGTCTTACCACCTGTGACCGGAAGGTCCCGGGTTCGAGTCGCGGTCTCCTCGCATTGCACAA